AAAAAAAAAAAAAAAAAAAAAAAAAAAAAAAAAAAAAAAAAAAAAAAAAAAAACATACAGTTATCAATATTTGGATCAGATAATAATGTAACATACGACTGATTGTAAAAGTTTATGAAACTGTGAAATCTTAGTGATAAAAAACAAAAATTGAGATTTTAAAAACTAAGCCGCGCGTTAATATTAAAATAATAATAATCATAATAAATGGAATCGATGTGCGATCTACTGCCGATTTTTGCAGACCCGCAGAGCCGCGCTCCAACGCCCAATAACCCAATAGCAGCATTAGCCGATATACCAATTTATATGAGCTTATCTCGGATTTTATCAGCAGTCGAAGCGCTTTGACGTTGCATATACACAAATCAAGGTGTAGATCTGCTTGGCGATCAAATAGGGGCGACGCACCACATCGAGATAGAGATCGGTTACAGAGAGAGTCAGACGAGTACAGTATAGACGGGTGGGCGAATCGCAAAAGAGAGAGAAAAATCGATAGAGCTCGCGATCGATGGTATATAAGTGATACGAACCCTCTCGAAATTCGTAAACACCACCAGCTTCTCTTTCTCTCGAGAGCAGCGAACAAATTGTGGAAACGGCGTACAGATACTCCGCACGTACATTTTCTCTTTCATTTTATTTTTTTTTTATTTTTTTTTTATTTTTTTGTAAACGTCGCCAGTTAACTCAAGTTTGTCGGACCAACATGGGCATCAGGCGGGGCTTGGCGACGCTTGCGTCGAAGGTCGCGAGAAGACCGGCACCGAGTCAACGCCAACGCGAGCTCATCGAGCGGGACCAGCGCTACGGGGGCCATCACATCCGCATGCTACCGGTCGTGCTCAGCCGAGCCTCGGGCGTCCACTGCTGGGACTGCGACGGCTACAGTACGCACTTTTGCACGATATACATATATATACCCACACCCAAAACACTTTCTCGAATCACGACATGATACCGATCGCACATCTGGTTACCGATTTCAGAGTACTACGACTTCTTGGGTGGTTTCGCGACCGTCAACCAGGGCCACTGTCACCCCCGCATCCTCGAGGCTCTGCGCGAACAAGCCGGCAAACTCGAGCACTCGTCGCGCGCCTTCTACAGCGAGCCCCACGGTGAACTAGCCGAATACATATGCCGGATCAGCGGCTACGAGCGCTTTTTGCCGGTATAATCCATCGTGCAACATACCACCACCATCGTATATGATTAACAATTACATCATCATGAAAAAGTATTTTGTAAAATTCGTATAAAAATTAATAATTATATATGTGGGTCGTGTAAGATGAACACGGGAGTCGAGGCGTGCGACACTGCCCTGAAGATCGCCAGGCGTTGGGGCTACCGGCACCGCGATCCCAAAATCAAGTCGAACGAGGCCAAAGTGGTTTTCGCTCGCAGCAATTACTGGGGCCGATCCCTCGCCGCCATATCCGCCTCGACGGAGCCCCTCTCCTACGAGGACTTTGGCCCTTACATGGCCGGCTACGAGCACGTACCGTACGACTATACATGTTTTATTTTTAATTAAATACAAACATTAGTTTGTCACGTGGCGATCATCGTGTATAATATTGTACATAGGTACGACGATTTGCCGGCACTCGAGGCCAAGTTGCAGGCCGAGCCCAACATCTGCGCGTTCATGGTGGAGCCGATCCAAGGAGAGGCTGGAGTTAAAATACCCTCGGTGCGTTTTTCCTTGCATGCCATGATAATTATAGCCATTAGCTACATTAACGAAATCATTTTCGTTGCGCAGGACGGTTATCTCAAAGGTGTGAGGGAGCTCTGCACCAAGTACAACGTCCTCTGGATAGCCGACGAGGTGCAGACGGGACTTGGTCGTACTGGACGGAGATTCGCCGTCGACCACGAGGAGGTGCGTATACAATGACCCACTGCCGTGTGTGTCAATTACGGAGCATTCAACCAGATGATGTTTGTAGGTCCGGCCCGACATCCTCGTCGTTGGCAAAGCGCTATCTGCTGGGATGTACCCCGTCTCGGGTGTCCTCGGCAGCAGCGAGGTCTGACGTTATAATATACACACAACAGCCTGCACGTGTCATCATCGTACGTAATTATAATTGATTGTTGCTCGTTGTCCATTTCTTAGATGATCCTGACTCTGGAAGCGGGCGTGCACGGGAGCACCTTCGGGGGTAGTCCCCTGGGTCAGAGGGTGGCGCTCGAGGCACTTAAGGTTCTCGAGGAGGAGAAGCTGGCCGACAATGCCGCCAAGATGGGGGAGATCGTGAGGACGGAGCTTGAGAAGCTGCCCAAGGACATTGGACAGTACCGCGGACGGGGCCTGCTCGCCGCGTTCGAGCTCAATCCGAGTACTTTTTTCTTTTTATATATTATAATTTAGTTACTTGCGAATTTTCATGCGTTCGCGTGGGTAATGGACAATGTTTCGATATTCAGAGTTTGCCAACGGATGGGATGTCTGCGCCGAACTGATTGACAGGGGATTGCTGACGAGGCCGGCTTACAATTACATCATTAGAATTTCACCGCCACTCACCATCAATGAAGAGCAGGTCAGAGATGCGCTCGACATCATCAAGACGACGTTACTCGAGTACAAGGGACGTGATGGGAAACAGTGAGGAGAAAGAGATTAACAACGCCCCGTCAACGGTCAATGGGGATCGAATGAAGAATAATCTATGAAAACTAGTTTGATTATGTTGTAACAAAACGTTTTTTTTTTGTATGCACGCTCCTTCTTTTTCAGTTGTATTTACCAACAGTTTCACTATTTTTTTTTTTTTTTTTAATGAACTTTTGATCAATACAAACGTAAGAAAGAGTTTTAAAGCATTTTTCGGTGATTATTTATGTTTTCTTTTCAAGTGGCGCTGTAAACTGAAAGATTGAGAGAACATTTGATTGCACTGTTCGCATTTGTACGTTTTTAGAGCTGTGTGCAAGTTAACGTGTCTTTTCAGATGACTGGGTAGTTTGAATTTTTTTCCGCACAGTCTGCACTGAAAACTTCGGATGGAATCGTGGGATGCTCGATGGCTCTTGAGGTGACTAGATTGCACGAAACTTTTTTCACAAATTTCGCACTTGAAGGGCTTGATTTTTGTATGGGTTCTAATATGCTCCACCAAATTACTCTTTTGATTGAACGCCTTGTCGCAGATATCGCACTTGTGTGATTTCGCACTTTCGTGAGATCTCATGTGAATTTTCAAGGAGTTCTTGTGACTGAAGAGTTTATTGCAAACGTCGCAGTGATACAAATCTTTGCCGGTGTGAAATTTCATGTGCCTCGTGTAGCTTTTAACGAGAAGGAATCGTTTGTTGCATTGAGTGCACTCAAAATTGGTTTGCTTTCTTTGCTTGAAGCAGTGAGTTTTCATGTGTTCTCGCAAATACGAGGGATAGGCAAAAGTTTTTTTGCATACATCACACTGATGTACGTTTGTTTGGGTGTGTAGACGCACATGAGCAGATAGTTTATTTTTTGAAGAGTAAGATTTCCAGCAGTACGTACATTGAAAAGCTTTTTCTCTGCTATGAATTGCTTGATGAGTAATCAATTTTGATTTTTTGTTAAAAGTAATAAAGCAAGTTTCACATTTGAAAGTGATGTCTTGTTTGATTTCCAGAGGATTCTCATTTTCAAATGCACTTGTCATTTTTTGAGATGTTGAAATTGTGTCATTACCACTTGCATCTTCAAATTGATTCTTATCGATGCCATGAGCAAAGTTTAAATGATCAAGAGCTGTTCCATGCTCGGTGATTCTTCTAATATTAACTGAGCTTCCTTCATTATTTGTATTAAAACTGATACCGTTTGTCAAATTTATACAATTTTCCTCACAAAGAGCCACATCATAATTAACTAATTGTATTTGATTCGAAAAGGTGTGATTGCACAGCAAGCACTGTGAAGTGCAATTTCTTTTGCAATGCAAATGATTGCGTCTTAGTACTGGATGATCCAAATCATCTGGCTTCTGAAAAGTAGATTTTTCATTGGTATGAGAGTAGTTAAAATTAAGATAGCCTGTACTACATGACTTGAGGATATGTGGCTGCAGCTGGGGTATATACTTCTCTCTTTCATCAATTACTGGGTAAGAAAGTTGATTTTGTTCGTGAAACTCTTGATAATCTGTAGCAGTCTTATTATGATTAGAAATTTTTGAGGAGGCTGGAGAGGAAGAGGAAGAAGAGGAAGAATAAGAAGAAGAAGGGGAAGGGAAGGAGTTGTGCAATGACCCAAAAGATTGACTTTGCTGATCATAAGAAATTTGACCAGCAAACGAGTTGGGAGCATAGGTTTGGATATTGTAATTGCTGGCAGTTGTGATGAGAGCTTGCTTAAGTGCTTTATCAGCAGCACAACATTGTTCACGAAAGAGCAGAGCAGATTCTGCTCTAATTACACACTTGTCACACATTTTTTCAGGAAGTCCATCACCTTGGGAAACCTACAATTCATAAATTAAAAACCAACTTTATTCATAAATTTATCTCGTTTAAAAAAGCTTCAGTAAAACTGTACAACTAACCTTCAAACAGGAAAGAGACTGCAGCTTGGCACCCAATGAAGATTTTGCTGGTCCAACAAATAAATAAACCATTTTGTCATTATCTTCTCTTAAGCATGTTCTGCAAACCTTACTAATATTTTCACTGTCAATTTTTTTTGTCACTATGAACATTTTTCAATCACAACGCCTGTTTGTTTATAAACTGATGAATTTTTCAGCAGTTTTACAGTAGTAGTGTATTAATTGCGTTTAATAACGGCAATTAAATGTTTCCACTAGAATTGTTGTGCTGTCAAACATTTTTTTTTTCAATTTTTTTTTTTTTTTGTTAAAAGAGCGTCAGTTACGCCTCAGCTACTATTAGTGTTGAGTAAATATAAACGTGAAATTGAAAAAAGTGTAAGTAGACGAATTAAATCTAATCATCACTTGTAAACAAATTACATGTAATTTTCGGGTATCCGTTTAACTTTAGGATTTTCAATTTTCATTAGACTGGAGACACTGGATACTGAATTAAAAGGCTTCAGCGTTCAGCATCAAATACAGTAAGTTGACTGTTCGGTTGTCGTCACAAAACTGGAAGTGGTGAAAAGATTTGGAAATTTTGGAGATATGTATTATAGTCATTGAATCACATGCAAATTATCGTAAAAAAAGTGACCAAATTGAGAGAGGGTTTCAAGTATAATACGTATGGATTAATTTTACTAAATAACTTGAAAAATTTGTTGATAATTAGAAAAATCAGGGTAATTTTCAATCAGATTTTTATACATTCGATTGAGATTAAATGAATAAGCTAGTTGGTCAAAACAAATTTATTGATCGACTTAAAGGCCGACAGTCATGGGGTTTGTAATTTGTAAAAATGGGGGTTCCAAAACATACATTTGATTCTCGATCCGGCCCTGCAACCCTCATGCGCCTGTTGTACAGTGCGCCCCCCATCTTTTGTATCATACGTACCTGCAAAATCCTGCAATCAACAAGTAGTTATTTTTTTCTTTGTCGTCCAAAAGGGAAGACCATATTGTTCAGTTATTTGGCGAAAATAACTATACTTTGACTCTATTCAAATACGTGCGATAATAATCAAATTATTTACTTCACATGAAGAGTTACCTATACGTTCCCAGCCCAGCATGCAACTCACCTAAAACTGGCATGTGCAGGTCGTCAGATTTTTACCGATTTTTCTTACACGTTCTATTTTCAACAAGTTCCGTAATTATATCTTTACTGTAGAGTATAGGTACTAATAATATGACTATTGAAATGTACTTTGGTAATAATAGGTTCAGCATTTAGCAAGGGGTGAAAATTATACATCGAGACAAGACGTCCCTATAGTACCCTACACCCTTTTATTATTTCTTGTTTCCTCTTTCCGTGCGCGTTGAGTATGTTCTATTGTTGCTCCTTGGTCGGCCGTTTCTTGGATAATGTACGTTACAAGTACCTATACCTAATGAGTAAAGGCATTTCAGGTTTCAGACATTAGAAATACTTTACAGTGAAGTACATACACATATACCTTTGTAGACTGAATTTATACACGACCGATTCAACGAGCAATGCATTCCGTGCACATACGGCATACGGCATATACACAATATATACACATATATATATAATTCTCTCCCCTTTCCGATGCCCCCGCCAGCATGCAGAATATGTACACAACGAAACGAACACAAAGCATGCAGCCGAGCCTAGCCGAGTGAGCCGAGAGCGCGGGTGCCGTGCAGCTCTCCGAAGATCTGATCACTGCAGATCACCAATTCACCACTCTCGCGCGCCAGTTGGCCGAGCGGCGCCTGTCGACGAACATCTTGCGCTCGACTTTGCTCGCTCGCTCGTCAATCGAGTCTCGCGTACCTTTAAATTTACAGTGTGTGTGTGTGTGTACAACAAACAAGTATAAACATATATACTTACTTTACCTTTGTCGTATATTTCTTGTTGTGTCAAGCAAAAGTGTATAAGTACTTACCTATCAGGTAAAAAAAAACTGCTTCGCGTTCACATGATGATGAATCGGCTCATGCCTCGCTCCAGCCGCCAGCAGTACCACCAGCGGCTCGCAGCGATGACGGTGTACAGCATCGGCGAAGCAAGCCATGTCTCGGGTGCCTGCTGAGAGGGCCCATATTTCTCTATACCTGCAGCCTTTCTTTCCCAGTTGGGATTTGCAAGGATGATGACCGGTTCTCTGCAGAGACACTGACGACGACTTTATATAGTGCCTATATATTACCTGTAGGGGCCTGCCTGTGCCCCGAACGTGTGTTCGTGTTGTTGTTAAAAATTGTTGGTTCCTCTAGTGGTGTCGCTTTTGTTATTGTTATTATTATTATCACCTGTACGCCCCAATGTGATGTGCCATGAATAGGTAACGCATATATACCTATATTCATTTAAAACACGAGTCACCTTAGAGCTGCTTTACCTGGAGGAGCAGCGCGCGTAAGTTGTAATATAACCCACACGTAGGTGTATTTTACACCTATATAGTGCATCGGTGAGAAAGACGGACAAACGAGCGAACGCGAACGAGGCCGAGTGCGAAGGAAATGGCGGCACGGTGGGCCTGCTGGGCGAGGCCCGGGACGGCCACCGGCCCGTTGTTCCCGGCGTTCCTGCTGCTGCTCCTGTGTTTCAACTCCAGGATTATCGGTAGGTTTTACATATACCGATCTCTCGTCCCATCGAGAGACCACAATAAAAAGTCCCCTCGTCCCCGCCCCTCGTTTCTAGTACTTTGTCGCACACACACCCAATGAATGAAGCCTTTGAAATCTGTATATGAGTACCACAACACGTTACGATCGCATACCTGTACTTATTTATAGGTACCTACGTCTCGGAGGTGCTGCTCATCTCTCGGGCCCTTTTGTTCCATGCTTTTGCTTTTTGCACCAACGTTCGCATCAGCCCAACACCTTTACGATGATGGTTCGTGTCCCGTTTATTTTCAACGCCCATATACTTACCTGGTGTGGCTATCCCTTTCTTTCTCTCGGTGTCCACGTCAACCTTGACTCCGTTAAAAAAAAAAAAAAAAAAAAAAAAAGGAAAAAAAGCATGGAAAAAGTAAAATCACGTTCTCGTGCTTGTTTTTCTTCTCCTTTTTTTCAATACTTTTACTTGTTAACAAGCGCGTCTGTTCTGCTCCGCGAAAGCAACTAATTATCGTACGCTCGCTTGAAAGGGAGTCTTTAAACTTATCCATATGCGCGAAATTAAGGATAAACAATGCAACCGATGAAAAGAAAAAAAAAATCTACGGTATAGTTACAAGTAAGGGTGCAATCACTCGTCGAACAACAAAGTAACGGATGACGAACGAGCGAAAAAATTTCAAAATGGATCGAGGGTTCGTTTTTTGCCGTTTGCATGAAAAAGTCAGTAACTATTCGATTTTCGATCGAACAAGTAACTTGGTATCATTGTGTATAATAAAAATGTGTACACGTGCAAACGACACAAAGGTACGTAATGTGCGGGCGTATGACTAATATCGTAAGTAATTAAAAAACAAATGTAAAACTAGTGACGCGAGTAAGCTCATTGCATATATAGCGGGCAAGTTGTGAATAAACGAGTGTGTGTGTGTGTGTACGTATCTCTCTGAAAGAAATGAAAAGGAGAGGAGGGTGATCGGTGACACTCTTGAAGATCACATATACGTCGTGGGAGAAATGGGAGAACGTACGGACCACGAGTGTTAGTTGTCATTACTATACGATCCGACGTACTATTACTTACACTACTCAACTATTCCACCACTACTACTACGACGTATCATACTTTTTTAGCTCGTTCTTCGTCTTCTTCGTCGTCTTATCCTCTCTCTTTTTTTTTTTTTTTTTTTTTAACTCCCTTGAAATGCTCTGTGGCGTCGTAGGGTTGATCAAAAAATTGGACACCTATATGTACAGGAACTCGATAGACATGGTTTCATGGATGACGCGAACGGCGAGGATGGCCCGTCTGCACCAGGAGAGCCTAATGGTACGTTTGGGGCAGCACCGTAGCGTGAGCTCGCGGGAGGTGTTCGAGCGCGAGAGCAAGTACGGGGCCCACAATTACCACCCGCTCGATGTGGCGCTCACCCGGGCCTCGGGCGTCTTCATGTGGGACTGCGAGAACAAGCGCTACTATGACTTTTTGAGCGCGTACTCGGCCGTCAACCAGGGCCACTGTCACCCCCGCATCGTCAACGCCCTGCGCGAACAAGCCGGCAAACTCGGCCTCACCTCGCGCGCCTTCTACTCGGACGTGCTCGGCGAGTTCGAGGAGTTTATTACGCGGCTCTTCAAGTTAGTCACCATTTTGTGAACAGCTACGATTAAACGCTGAGCCGATTTTTTTCCCCTCTTCCTTCAATTTCCATATTTTTTGCTCGTTCGGCCACACGCTTTGCGAGTCACGAAAATAAAGACTTCAACGCGTGTGTGGGAGAACGAGACTCACCCACCCAAGAGACACACGTACCAAAATCCCCAAATACCTTTTTGTCCATTTTAACGTGCCATTATCATCATACCGATTCACTTTGGCATCCACGTAAATACAAAAGTGTTTATAATAATATATTTATGTAGGTACGACAAGTGGTTACCGATGAACACGGGGGTGGAGGGCGGGGACACGGCGTGCAAGTTGGCTCGCAGGTGGGGCTACGACGTGAAGGGCATACCGCGCTACAAGGCCAAGATCGTCTTCGCCGAGGGTAACTTTTGGGGCCGCTCGCTCGCCGCTATCTCCACCTCCACAGACCCCTCGAGCTACGCCGGCTTCGGCCCGTACATGCCCGGCTTCAAGACCGTACCGTAAGTGCCTTTTTTTTCTTTTTTTTCTTTGCCATAATATATATAAATACCTATATGCGCCGATTACAAAATTCAATGTGCATTGCACGCATTGCGACAGGTACAATGACGTTGAGGCGCTAGAGCGCGAGCTGTCCGATCCCGAGGTCTGCGCGTTCATGGTCGAGCCCATACAGGGCGAGGCCGGAGTCGTCGTTCCCTCGGTGCGTATACACGAGCCCTCATTTAATAAACACGTGCGCGTTACACCCAACAATTAAAACAATTGCACGTGCTCGATTGTCGTGCACACACAGGAGGGCTACCTCAGGTCGGTCCGGGACATCTGCTCGCGCAACCGCGTCCTCTGGATCGCCGACGAGGTGCAGACGGGACTTGGTCGTACTGGCCGCAGACTCGCCGTCGACCATGGTAACTAATAGTATATAGTAATAGTTGATAATTTATAATAATAACATTTTTTTCTTTTTCACGTTTGCACAGAGCAAGTTAGACCGGACATACTGATCCTGGGCAAGGCGCTGAGCGGTGGCATGTATCCCGTGTCGGGTGTCCTCGCCGACGACGAAGTCATGCTGACCATCCGACCCGGTGAGCACGGCTCGACGTACGGAGGCAATCCGCTTGGCTCCCGCGTCGCTCTGGAAGCTCTCAGGTACATCGTGTAGCGTTGCTGTCCTGCATGGACACTCTCATTTTACGGATGATGAGACAACATTTTATTGATCGGTCGGCCGTTGCAGGGTCCTCGAGGAGGAGCGTCTGGCAGAGAACGCCGAGCGTCTGGGGCGTATCCTGCGCCAGGGCCTCGAGAAGACGTTGTCCCGTGACGTGGTGCAACTGGTGCGCGGCAAGGGTCTGTTGAACGCCGTTGTTGTTAACAAAGCCCTCGATGCCATGGAGATCTGCCGGGAGTTGAAGGCGGAGGGTTTGCTGGCCAAACCCACCCACGGCCACATCATCCGTAAGTAAAAAAAAAAACAACGTTTTTTCCGACATTCCGAGGGTACCTTTGGTGTGTAGTGTTGGTCATTCGAGTGGTAAACATTTTCCAGGTCTGGCCCCGCCGCTCGTCATCACCGAGCCTCAGATACAGGAGTGCATCGACATCATCGCCAGGGTCGTCAATCGCCAGAAAGTGCCCGCAGCCACCTGCTCCGCCGCTTCCTCGTGAGCATTAATTGCTTCATTCGAATCGCGGAGAACCCACATCTCCGACCGTACTGTACATATAAACTTGGCGCAGTTATAAAACGAAAGATAAACAAAATATACATCTATACGTATACATACATTGTATGAATAAATTAATGATTTTACCCTCAGAGCGTGCGCGTCTTCGTTTGATTCACCTCTGTTTATCGGGATAAAACCCCCTTGTGCGGACTATTCTCATCGGTCCTCGCATTTTTCCACTCAGTTTTAAATAATTACACGAGTTTATTTCGTGTACGACAATCTATGCAGCGAGTGATTGCCAAGTTACGTAATACCAACAGTGTATGTGTACACGTTAATCGAGTTTGTCATCGATGAACGAAACTGATATTGAACAGATAAGGAGCTGAACAATTTATTCAACGATTGTAATGTATTTTTTTTCGGCACAAATCGTGGCTCTTGTACAATTTTCACATAATACATACGTACTTGTGTACAATAAATATTACGTATAGTTATGAAAAATTTCAAAAAGGACCTGCATATACGCACATGAATCTAACTAAACTTGTACGTATATATATATATATATCGCTTCTACCGCTGCTTCACTCGAGCTCCATCTCCTTTATCTTGGACACCTCGTGATAATTGATCGATTGCAAGGTAGTCGACGCACGCTCACCGTGATACGTTTGTTAATACCCGCGATAAAAAAAAATAANCCACCAATACCATCCGAAGTAAATGTGATTGCTCTAGATTCACGAAAAACACTTGATTATCTATTCTCGCGGTTTTAGAACTTATCGATGCCATAATAGACAATTATGCTGACTTCACGACAAAAAAAGACACAGTTAACTATTTTAATACTTTGGAAAAACTTACTTTTATTTTAAGTATTAGAATGTACACGCAGAGAACCAGCGCAAAGTGTCCGAGTTTAAAACTTTTGAGACCACTCTCAGGGAGGATCGTGGGATAGCAGAGATGGACTCTAACTACCCAGCCAACCGTTTGAGGGTAAAATTTGAACTATACTGTGCCTCGCTTCGCAGTAGACTGGGTTGTAGCAGAGGCTGACTCTTACTACTCAGTCTACCTTGAAGGGCTATCGTCGAGAGGGGTTTTTTTGGGTCTTCCGGGCCTTTTTGTAAGAAGTAGCGGACCTCTGCAACGTGCTGGTTCGAGATGACGCAGGAAAATTTGCCAGAAAAATTTTGAAGGGAAAAGACAACAGCCAAAGATCTAGCTGTTTAGAGATGGTGTAGTTGAGCTACTCAAAAATTAGCATATCCCACATCCAGCTCATTTTCCTCCGTGTGTCAAGAGAAGGGAAGATGATTTACTTACTCATGCCCTTCCTATCTCCTTTACATCCAAATTTCACTAAAACTTTAGTTTGACTTAATATTGCTGTTAAGATAGAATATTGTTAATATTAACTAATGTTGGACACTGTTCGTTTGTTTAACTAAACTTTTTTTTTTTTTTTTTTTTTTTTTTTTTATGATCGAGTCACGCAAGCTGTAAACATAAACCAACGAAGAAGAGAGACGGAGAGCCTTTTTTCAATGGAATCAAACCAGCGCTCAAGGTCGAAGTGCTTCTGTCGGACTTGTATACCCATCAGTTTTGTTTTATTTATCGACCTCCATACATTTTTCATTTTCGATCGAACGATAATGCTCAAACAGCGTTATACGGACAAGATTAAAAGCTACTGTGCTGCAGTTTCTTCCTCCTCCCTTCTTCTTGGCGATGACTCATTGGACAAAGTTTTCTTTAGCTGATAGCAGGCTTAGTAAGAGGAGAGTAGCGAAAAAAAAAAAAAAAAAATGTACCTACTTACGTTCTCGGGTGGGTTTTTTTTTTGTTGCGTGCCCGGCTTGATGCAGGGGCTGTGCACGCAGTGAGGCTATGATAATTGAAACAAACCTACGATGCCAGCCGCTGTAGGTGGTATTACGTATGGAAGCAGGTCGCCTACACTGCCTGCACCCCCTGACGCTCTGTGTATGTTAATAATATAAGTGCAGTAGCTGACTGAAGATCGAATATGCAAAAAAAAAAAAAAAACGAATTTGAAAAAAAATTACATTCGCAAGAGTGCACGCAACAACCACCATTAGTACGGTGAAAAGCTGTTAAAAGAGCTAGAACTTGAAAAAAATGTGTATCTGAATAATTTACGATGAACGATGAGCAACAAACCTGGAGTGTGTGTGAGAATGTAGAGATGGGAAAAAATGCAGGATAATATCACCCGTAGGTATTAAGGTGAGAAAGGACGGGGGTGTACCTTGAGTATAAATGGGGTAATGTTATATATTATGAACAAGGCGTGGCGAGAAAAAAAACTACTTAACATACGCATGAATAAACTTGGATTACAAGCTATAGGAAAGGTATTTAATTTTTTTTACACAAAAAGCTGACAGAAAAAATTTAATAAAATAAAGAATGGTTCGTGGCTTGAATAAACAGGTCAAAATATATATCCGATTAACATAGAAAAGTCTATTCTTGAATGTGTGTGTCAGTCAATATAATATCAAGAACATTTTTTAAGCTACTTAAATCTTTTAATAGTTTATTACTTTAAATTTGTTTTGTCATTTGTACAGGATTACCATGAAAACGTTTATTATTTTCTGCTTTTCGTGAGAATTGATAATAATACGATAAAATAAGCATAACCAAATGAAGACTAACTTATTATTGGAAATTTTTTAAAGTTACAAGAAGTTATTTTAAATGGTATTTTTTTAAATTTTTTCTCTTTGAAAACTATCATGTTTCGGTTTTTGTTTATAGTACAAAGTTACTTACATGTACTAAAATAATTATCTGCTGTAAATCTGTTGGAGATATGACTCTTACCATTACTATGGATCGATATAACTATTGTATTTGATTAGAAACTTTAGTATACGCAACAATTATAATATACAGTGTGTATTTTATTTTTGTATCACATTTGATATTGATAAGCCTATTTCAAGACAATCAATTTCAATAAATAATCATTCAATTTCTAGCAATAAAAATACGAACGAAATAATGATTTTAAGTGACTTTTATGGTTGTAAATATTAACACTCAATTTATACAAATAATAAAGACAAGTAACACTAGTAGTAGTTGGGGTTGGTTGCTTTATAATTTTTCATTGTTTTTTGTGCAAGTCTATAAAAAAAATACTATTTAGTGGCAGTTTTGGTAGATGAAGTCAAACATACCATAATTCGGTTTCGCAAAAAAATGAAAATTAACAGATTCAATCATATTTGTTTCACACGTAAGTCAAATATCCTTAAGTATTCTACATAATAGAAATGAATAAATTTAAGACCTGATGGTACCTGCACCCTGCACCTGTTATACGTTAGGTTCGGTTAGAAGCGCGTTGTCAGAGTCCGTTCCACACAGTCGAGCAAAAACGCGGGTTTTCGGTATTTTTAAAATTCAAAAGCAAACCGTACCACGTATTGTTTGAAACTCGACAATTGCGAGCTTAATTGAAGAAAATATTGTAACAAATTAATGGTACACAAAGCATGGGGGTGTGTAGGTATACATATAGGTGTAAGAAGACGAAGATTTACATGGCATAGTCGTTTGTCCGCCATGACGGAAGGATCCTAATAATATAATAGAAACAGGCTCGAGCGGATGGGAGTCATTGAAAGGGGGGAAGAACGAGGGAAGAAAAGAAAAGAAGAAGAAGAAAAATGTAAGTGTATAAGAGAGAGAGAGAGAGAGCGCGTGAGAGCGAAGAAGGTGCACGTATATGTATACGTACAACAGTATAGTACTGCATAAGTAGAGTGCAACAACAGCGGAGAGTTGTATATGTGCGGGTATTCTATATATGATGATGGCGTAGGGCGCAAAGCGAAGAGAAAGAGAGAGAGAGACAGAGAGGAGAAAGAGAAGTAAAGTCGGAGCAAAGAACTTGGGGTCGGCGTCCGTTTACTAACACACAGTTTTACTTATACCTACTTGTCGCGTATAGTAGTTTATATAGGTATAATACATTATAAGGTTTACCCATATATATATAATAATTTAGTTANATTTTCACTGTATGGATATATATATATATATATATATATATATACATCAGTAGGTAAGGCAGGTATAGTAAGTTATATAGGTGCAGCAACCAACCAACTTTGTCGTCTACACACAAACACTTAAATCAAGAGCTCCGTTTTACGCGTGAATCTCGCGTGCGTGCCCTAGAAAAATGAACATGAATTCCAAGCGATTTCCATACTTGATTCAACCTGGAACACCCATGATGATTTCCAAGTTATTTCTAATGAGATGCGTTTATGTGAGTCCACGTCTAGTATACGGCTGCTGCTCGTATTTGGAGCATTATTTTGAGTGTTTCATACAACGAGACACCTACACTTGTAGTATAGAGTTGCGAGTTGATTCTCCTTTGCTCCGTGTAGGTATATACGTGTATAATATAATGCGCCTCTCACCTTCTCCTTCTTCCTCCGAGCTCCTTTTCCTTGTACTTCGGGCCAACGTCTTATACGTATATATAGTAGGGCCGTGTGAACTGCGCTCTTCGCCCTGTGCCATTTGCTCTGTGAAGAAAATACACGCTCCATTAACCATGAAAACATTTCATTCCTCGCCTTTTTTTTTTTTTTTTTTTTTTTTTTTAAGCTAACCAGACAATTTGACGGTCAAAAAAAGAACCGCGAGTTTGTCAGAGGCTATACACACACACACACCGTTCAATTTCAGCGTTTTTGGGGCCTCAAAGTATAAGCGCAAAGGTCGGGGGGTGCTTCGCCCACCGTTGCTGTTTCACATACTTACCGGTTCTTTTCTTGAAAAATCGAGGTGTCTTATACACACACGCATATATGCGCGAGAAAAAGAATTCCCGGCTGACTCATCGCGCCCTGCCGTTGACTCTCGTTAGTGCCACGTTTTGATTTCGTGGAATACTTTTGATACGTTGCGCGCGAAAATACACACGTGTATTGATATAAGCACAAGACTCCCAATAGTAAGTATATCACAAAGTGTCGAATCATTGTTCTTTTATTTGTTTTCTTTAAACAGAAAGACTCGCGTGGTGAGGCTCGGAACATTTACGATAAGTATGTAATCGATGGCTGCAAAGAAGAAGCC